CAATATAATTTTTTCATTAATTTTTGGTAGTTGGTTAACAACAACACACACAGAGATTAAACTTTAAAATAAAAAGTCGTTATGTTCAATCTCAACCTTTTTTTATAGTATGAATTGATTCTATGGGAATAAAGTTGTAGCCAAATATGACAAGATCACAACAGGAAGAGTTTAATATTACAATACGTAGAGATCCACTTATAACGAAATAAGGTAATGTGAAAAATGGGATGAAAATTAAAAGGGTGTTAAGTGAATTTTTGAAAGTTGTGTTATCTACCCCAGTAACCACGCCTCGCAAAAGGGAAACTTCCAAACATTGAGCCTAGTAGATGTAACTGGTCAATTTGTAGACCCAAAGGCAATGCTAATTGACTATACTATGTTGACATGTTGTCGTGTAATTGGGCCACATGTGCAGACGTGGTTGGACACACTGGTCTTCGTTGCATTACAAGTTTTTTTTGAATATCTCAAAACTGCTAAGAATCCCAATCTCAAATTATGAAATGACATGTGAGCCCACCATAATCTTTTTTCAAGGTTAGGATAGGGGCATCAACGCTGAACTTGAAGGAATATCCTTGCTTATCGTTGAAAAAAAGGTGAGAGGATTAATCCATTTGCATAGTTTGGATGATTAGAACCGATGATGCTTATCATCTTTATATTTTAAATTCGACTTTATTAAGTGAATTCTAGTTTATCTGATGCACATATTTTGTAAATGATTATGTGCCCGTCAATAAAATTTTAATTTGAATCTAATTAGTCATATATGCATTAATTTTTTTCAACTAATTATTTAAATTAAAATATATCGTATCATGTTTCATAGATTCAAAAATAGTTATACTAATAACCAATTTTATTTTGATTTGATATAAGGTATATATATTATATAATAGGTGACAAAATCGACTAATCATTTGATGAAATTGAGTTGAAACTCAAAGTTAATATTTTAACATTTAATAATTGAGTTTTTTCGAATCAAATCAAATTTTCAAGTATTGAAGAATTCAAATATTGACTATAAAAATGAAACCAAATTAAAATTTTCAAATCGAATTTGAATTAATTGAAATTCAATTCATTGAGCGGCTTAGTTCTCATAGTCAATCTTTAAAAAAAAAAAAAAACACGTGGTGGATTATGTCTATTCAATGCACCGACTTCTTGATTTTTGTTAGCTATATGTTGACTATCTTCATTGATTTGTGGAATAGGATTGAACAATGCTCTTTTCTAGGAAGCTGCTTCCACATAGGAACCATGGCATGAACAATGCTTTGTTAGCCCAACCACTTTTTTTTTTTTTTTTTTAAGGTTTTGTGGTTCTAATGGTGTAATGGGATTGTTAAGAAGTCATTGTCATATAACCCCGTGAAGGTCACGGACTCCAAATAGGGTTGAGCATGAGGTTGATTTGGTTTGCAGTCTTTAAACAACCATTTTAAGCAGACATTTATGAAAAAGAGTTAGAGAAAAGGACTTGAAAAGAAGGATTTAACTATTTCACAAAAGGCGAATTTCACCTTACACTCTAAAAGATATAATAATTTTTTACTTTGCACTATTAAAAATTAAATTTTTCGCATTAAACCTTGAATGCTCATTCTGTCAAAAACAACCCCATTGACGATGACAGAATGAGAATTGGAAGCTAACAGAAATTTAGTCTTTGAGGGTACAAAATAAAAATTCTTAAATTTTTTAGGGTACAAAGTGTGATTCCCCCTTTTAAAAATCATATTTACAAAGAAGTATGTCCTAAGCCTTATTTATTTTCTTTTTTTCGGGGATAACTTTATTAACTAGTATATTGAGGTCCTAAGTTCAAGTCTTGCAAGAGTTGATTCAATGCACATAGTTTGCAATGATTGTACATATAGGAAAGTCCTGTCATCTAAACTATCATGATGATTGTAAGTTCTATTTTACTATGTTTAACCTTTCAAGGAAATAATCATAGGCAAACCTAGAGAAAGACCTGTCATTATTATTTATAAACTACAAACATGAAGAGGAAGGTTGGCGTACAAAGCCTATGAAGATGGATGGGTAATACTGTTTTACTAAGTATGCAAAAGCAAATCCATATGACAAAAACTTCATGCACTTCAAATTTTTGTCGAGAGTCTTACTCAAGAAATGATTTTTTTTCTCATTTGGGCATACATTGAAGAACTTGAAAATTAACAAGAGGACTAACATGGACAATGCAACTGTCTTTCTAACTAAGCTTGTGATTTTAAAGACATTTATCTTAGGGTTGGATGCTATTATTGATTCTTAAATCACTTTAAGCCCTATAGTTGCGCTTACCCTTGTTGATTGTTCAAAGAAACATAATCTCTTTACTGGTATCATTTTTCGTCAAGGCTGAATGTCCAACCTTTTGTTTAAGTATAATGCTTGACGAGATTAAGTTATATAAGGTTTACATCTAAATGCGTCAATAGGCAACCATTAAAAAATTGAAATGTTGCAAGTTCTTATTGTTACTTGTAAACATACCGATTTACGGTAAATCATAAGTAACTGAATCTCAACCTTTCATTTTGAGATTAGCAGAGTTTCTCTCTCCTCTCCTTGGTGTGTGTGTGAATGGAAGAAGGGGTGGGGGTGTTAAGTGATTTTGAATCTGCCGATTCACCTGCCCACATCATCCTCAAGCAGGAGAGAGAAAGGAGGAGAGCATTTAACCATTTGTTACAAGGTAAAGCATCCCTTTTTAATAAGTCAATAATTAATTTTTGGGAACAATTCACAACAAAAATTTAGCACTTTGTGGCCTTTCCTGGGAAAAATAAGACAAATAGAAATGAATTCAAATAAGACAATAATTGGAAATTTATTACTCTCTCTTAAAGTTGTTCCCACTAGTGTCAATACATTTTTATAAATTAGTTGGTGCATACGTGCATTACACGTAAATCATATGAATATAGTATGCATATACTAAAGAAATGTAGCATTTTCAAACTTCATGTCTAGACTTAGAAACCTAATTCCACAATTCTAATTGTAGGTCAGCTTAACACCGTTGACTTATATGTGGTATCCAATTTGAATTTCGTCAGCATAAGAATCAAAATATTATATTCTTTGTTCCAAGTCCTTCCACATTTTGACAATAGCTAAAAAAAGTGAAGTAAAAAATTGTTTCCTACAAAATATCATGTTGACATTTATGGTGCACAAGTGCAATATGCTTTCCATTTGAATCATTTTGGGTATGAAATATTATTGTTTCACGTATGAGTTAATGTGGTTTACATTTTATAAAGTTAAACCAATAACAAAAAATAAAAGCGATGAAGGCATCGTGCCCTTCACACCTTAACAACTGAACATGCACAAAGCAAAAATTATCATCTCCAATTGGTTGGATTACTTTTTAACATCTCATATTGATTGGAAAATCATATTACAATTAGTGCAACTCTCAATCCTTAAAAAGACATGCCCGCACATGTAGTTTGAATGCTAACATGTGTTCAAAAATTTCTCATAAAATAATGCTATTCATATTTTAAAAAATATAATTTGCATTAAGAATACAATTGTAGTGAATTCATCTCCACTTAGAAACAAGTTACCCCCTATGTATCAAACTATCTGGAGAAACAAGTAAATGAAAGAAAATTGTGAATGCTGTCTTGACTAAGGATGAGGTTATAACAACGTGCCAAAATTTACAATCACATATTAATTGATGATGCACAAAACATGTTTATGCAAGATTAACAGTTGAGTGTGTGATAAAGTGTAATTAATTGATAATTAATTAAACAATCAATGACAATAATATAAATATCGGGTTAATGCACAAATATATAGTGGTTCAGTTTGAGTGACCTACTCAACTTCGAGAAACGACAATGGTGGCTGGGGGACCTTTATTGATAAAGTAATTAAGGTGAGCGAGAGAAAGAGAGCAATGTTTAGCTTCAGGAGAGATACAATAGCTAGGGGAGAGAAAAGATATGTGTGGAGTGTGTAGAGAGGCCCCTCTCAATGGAGAGAGCTTACAATTTATAAACATAGAGCCTTAGTTGAGGCAGTGACATGAGAGGGAAGACACTAATTCTCTGGGTCGCTACAAAAGGTAAGTGCTATAAAATGTTGCTTTGATCTTCGAGAGTGAGTATCTTGATAATTGATCCCACATGTTTTAATTCTTCTCGGACTCCTCTGAATTTAGGCTCAAACTGGGCTTGACCTATCTTTTAACTGATTTGAACTTATTTGATTTATTGGGCCTGACCCAGTTAGATTTGGGCTCGTCATTTGCCCCCCATGCCCTAAGCCTCTGATTTCTTGCAAGAGAAGGGGTTGAGGGCATGGGTGTCTTGTTCACCTGGACGAGCAAAAGTTTTCTTGTTCCCCATGGCGGCCTTCCCATCTTCGGAGACTCTAAAATCTTTCTTTTAATTACCATTGGGCATTTTCTGCATTCGACTACATTTCTTTAGCTGGGTTCTTCATCAATCTTGAAGAAGCTCCTTGCTTTTCAGGAAAAAACCCCATCAAAAAGCTTATATATATATATATAGGAAAAAATCCTCCAACTCCTTTACTCCATTTCCCCATTTTTTTTTCTTTCCTTGAAGCTTTTCGTTGAGCCTAGGGTCCAAAATACCTTTTTTTCCAAAAGTTATTGAGAGAGCTTGAAGTGCAAGAGCTTGGAGACGATGAAAGGGGGCTTCGATGGCAGTCCCGGGGCTAGTCTTGGTGAGGCCATGGGCAATGCTAAACAAGGTGACGCCAGACGAAACCTCCATGGGTGACTCCAGGCGAAGCCTCCATAGGGGACGTCAGGCAAAGCCTAAGTGGCCTCGGCCAGTAACCCAGGAGGCGACGCTATTCGGGGTCTAGTGCTTGAGGTCAGAAGGGTGCTAGGTGGTGCTGGAGGCGGAGGCTGTGCCAATGGCAGAGACAGATGTTAGTTGGGCAACGACTCTCGTATCCTCGGTTCAGGCGACATCTGCTAGATGGGGAGCAAGGCTCTAGAGGGTGGCTCTACAGGCGAGAGAGTCATTGGCAGAGAGGTAGGCGAGATTGGTAGGGAGGCAGGTGAGACTGGGTTGGGCGGCGTCAGCGTTCGGAGCGTGCTTGTTCTTCAAATGGGTAAAATGTTCCAAACCTCCGCTCCATGGACTAAGACTCAAAATTTTTTTCATTAAAATTCATGTAACATTATTTTGGGTCAGATCATCATCTGGATCAACACACAACTAGACTTCACAAAAAGGCCAACAGATATTGGTATTCCCTTGACATTGACCTTGATTCTGTTTTGGTTCTGTTTGTTGGCAGGCACCCACTCTGACAAGGTCATCGTGGGGGAGGCTACTCGAGACATCGAGCAAAGCAAGGGGACTGCTAGAGATAATGGCTCAAAGCTGACTTCCATATTCAGCTCCATTGACTGTGATGATGATATCGCTCATATTGTATCTTCGTACCGTATCCCTCTCGCTATCATGTGTCGTCGAGCGGAGGAGGATGAGCCAGCGTGTTGTGGTTCCTCGAGTGAGATTGTTCTTTATAAGGATGCCTTAGAGGTGGGTTTGATGTTTCTGATACCTTGGCTCATATGTTGGGTCCTGGGACATTTGTCATTGACTCTCGAGAGGTTGGCTCCCAATAGGTGGAGGTTTTTATTGACATTCTTCTCATTATAGCGGTTGGTTCACAGTGTTGACGTCCCTTCCCATTTGAGGAATTTTTGGCCACGTATGTGCTTCTACATAACCCTTTTTCTCATCCATGGTGGTGTCGTTTCGCCCCAAGGTCGAGCAAGTTCATCACTAGGCTTCCTTCGAATTGTCATAGATGAAAATCTAAGTTCTTCTTTGTTGGAGGTGAGTGGGCCACCGAAGAAGATCATGACCTAGTGCCTTCGAGGTGGGACACCATCCCGAGGACCAAGCTAGGTAAGAATTCAACTTTCGTTTTTACTTCTAGTTGTTACATAGCTATTCTCACTATATTATTAGCTTCTATGTAGTTTCTCTCACATTATTTGCGGAACAGGAGAGTAGGCTCCAGATAGTTCGTGACCATCATTTGAAGGAATTCTCAGAGATTTTGTCTGCGTCAAGTCGTCCAAAAATTCCTCATAGGTCAAAGAGGAAAGGTTCCTGATCCTTCCAACAGACTCTTGATGGTTACGACATCATAAATTTTTTATCTCACACCAAGTTTGTAGGTACTTCTATTGGTAGGGCACTGGTGGAGGCTTTGTATGCTTCCAAGGTGGTGTCTTCCCCTTCTTTTTCTAAGAAGGCGAGGTCTGATGCCCTTGGTGTTTCTTAGCCAAGGTTTGCCGGCCAGGATAGTCCCCGAGAGGTGGGACTTGGTGATGCTCCGCTCCTTCCCCTGCTGTGGTACCATCACCTTTCGGATTTCATCCCAATATAGTCATTGGGATAGAGGCTTCAGTGCGGTCTCCTACGAGGACCGGGGCTTCGCTTGGCTGTCCTACTTCTAGTAGTGGTTTGGTATCCATGCTATAGGATGTGAATTTGTCCAAGGAGCGACTTGGGGGTTTGTGATTGCCATAGACATCCAGGAGGTTAGTTCTCGTGGTCTAGAGGGCTACATCGACACAGCGATGGAGAGCTTTACTTTGGTATGCCCTTTACTCATCTTTGACTTTGTACCTGGCTTTCTTCTTTCATGTTTTGGCTTTTGGATACCTGTAGGTGGCTGTTGCCTTTCCTTACTTGTGTTTTGCGCATGTTGAAGCTTAGATAGGAACTTAGTGGTCAGGCAGTGGAAAGACAGGTATGGAAGGATGTTGAGGAGCAACTAGGGCTCAAGAGGTAGGCGCGAGAGGTTATCGATGAGCAGTCGAGGCTAGCACACAAGAGCTACCACACTTGAGACTGAGTTTCAGGCGTCCTGCGAGAGGTCCGCCTAGCTGGAGGCTGACAGAAAGGCTACCTATGTGAGAATAGAGACAAAACTGTGAGCGTCCTGTGAGAGGGCCACTAGAGTAGAGGCTGACCTTCGAGCAACTGTTGAGAGAGCTACCAGGGTAGCGACTTACTCCATGGAGATGGAGAAGAAGAGAGATGTTGGTGAAAGGGCCGTGACAGGTGCCTTTATTGATGGCTACGAGGAGCTCAAGGGGAAGGTCTCAATAGCTTTTCTCGCTTATGACTTTTTTGGCTTCATCCCATATGAGGCTCTAGGGACTGATGAAGAGGAGGCGAGCGGATCAGGGGCAGTGAGTGACGTCAAGATCATAGTATCTTTGTATTTGTATTTTTTTTCTAAGCATGTTCTATCTTTTGTAAATAGTTAATGCACTTCTATGGAATGAAATACAACTTTTGAAAAACTCTTGCAAAATTTTATTTCATAATCCGAAGCAAATAACAATGAAAATTGACCAAAACAACAATAGATAATTTAAATAGTGACTACTGACTTGTACACCCACTGCTTTGCCCCCAACTACTGGTAATATTTCTTTAGGTGCTACTCTATTTTCCATGGATGGGCCAAAATTTTTTCCACAGGATTCTGGATTCTGTAGGCACCCGATCTTACAATTTTCGTGGCTGTGTAGGGTCCTAACTTCTCTTCACGGAACTTTGTTAGACAGGATGACCTTTTTGAGGACTAGGTCCCTGGGAAAAAAGGAGTGAGGCTTCATCCTCGAGTTATAGTACTTGGTCATGCGATGCTTGTACTTTGCATTCCTGAGCATGACTATCTCCTTCTTCTTCTCTACCAAGTCAAGGTTAATGCAGAGGCCTTCTTCATTCCTGGTAGGGTCATGATGCTGGACCCTAAGGGAGTGTACTACAATCTCAATGGGTATGACGCCTCTGTCCCGTAGGCTAGGGAAAAATTGGTCTCGCCTGTGGGGCTTCTTGGTGTTGTCTGGTAAGCCCACTGTACACCCAAGAGTTCGTCTACCCATCGCCCCTTTGCACACTCTAGTCTAGTTTTTAGATTGCAGAGGATGGTTCTGATGGTGACCTTCGCCTGTCTGTTCACCTGTGGATGGGATTGGCTGGAGTTGGGCTGCTTGATCTGTTGATTAGCATGGAAGCTAAGGAGTTTATTGTCAAACTGTTTGACATTGTCACTCATAATGACATAGGGTATCCTAAAGCGGCAAACTTTGCTCCTCTAAATGAAGTCTTTCACTTTATGGTCTGTTATCCTTGCCAAGGCTTCAACTTCTACCCACTTGGTGAAGTAGTCGATGACTATCATTACAAATATGCACTGGCCTCTACTCATCGGTAAGGGACCCAGGATGTTGATCCCCCGCATGGAGAAGGGCTAGGGGCTTTGAATGATGGTGATCTCTTCAGGTGGTTGTCTAGGTATAGTTGCAATGTGTTGACACTTGTCACACTTTCTAACAAACTCTCAGGCATTTCTGATTAGGCTAGGCTAGTAATAGCCTTGCCTTACCGCTTTGTGGGCCAGTGCACGCCCTCCCGAGTGATTTTCACATATACACTCGTAGATTTTCCTCATGGCATAATCGGTTTCCTTAGGGGTAAGACAACAGAGTAGTAATAATGAGTAATTCTTTTTGTAGAGTGTGTTGCGTAAGATGAGATATCTGAACGCTCTCATCCTCAACTTTTTGGCTTCCATTGGGTTGTCTGAGAGAGTGCCTTCCTCTAGGTAGGCCAAGATAGGTGTCATCCGTTTGGCCTTAGAGGATATACAATTAACATCGTCCTTCTATGTCTTGAAAATGCTTGCCTCAAACTGATGGCCAGTCAGTGTTGGGCTCATGAGTATGTTGGTAGATGCGAATTTAGTGAGGGCATCTGCTATAGAGTTCTCCTCTTGAAGCACATGGTGGATTTGGAAGTAGGTAAACCTTTTTAACAAGGCCTGGACTATTGACAGGTATTCTTGTATTCTTTTCTCATTCGCTTCAAATTCTCCTCTCACGTGGTTGACTATTAGTTATAAGTCACTGTAGGCCGTCAGGCAGAGGGCCCCCATCTCCAATGTGAGCTTCAAGCCTAATATGAGGGCTTCATATTCATCTTGGTTATTGAATGTTGCAAAGTGGAACGAGACATCGTACTTGAGTGGAGTGCCATGGGGGCTAATTAGCGCTAGTCCCACGCGGCCGCCCTCGTTGGTGGAGGACCCATCTATATACAGTCTCCAACATGATACAGTAGATGGTAGTGAGGGCCCGGAGGGCTCTGGTGGAGTAGGCATAAGAGATTTAGGTGCCTCTAGTCTCAGAGTGTGGTCTCCCGTGGCCCGTGGAGCTGTCTCTGAGACATCAAGCTCTCTCGGGACGATGTCTGGTCTTGCCTTATGGTGAGTGGAGGCAATATGCACCGAGCAAGTGAGCGTAGGGGCATGTGATACTTCCTCTTGGGACTGTTGTGGTGGTGTCGATTCTCAGAATTCCTATGGTGGTGTAGACTCCCGAGACTTCTGCGGTGCTGTAGACTCCACCACGAAGTCCGCAAGTGCTTACGCTTTGATGGCCACCCTCGGCTCATACTACACATCGAATTCACTTAAATCGACGGCCCACTTGAGTATTTGGCTGGACACATAAGGCTTTCTCAAAATTTCCTTGAGTGGTTGATATGTAACGACCATGATGGTATGACTCTGAAAATAGTGGCGTAAACGCCTGGCAGTGTTGACAAGTGCAAGAGCCAACTTTTCAAGCTCTGAGTACCTTACCTCTGCCCTTTGATTTACCTTGCTTACATGGTTGTTGAATGTTGCAAAGTGAAGAGAGACAACATACTTGAGTGGAGTGCCATAGGGGCTGATCAGTACAAGTCCCGCGTTGCTGCCCTCTCTAGTGGAGGCCCATCTAGGTATAGTCTCCAACATGGTATAGTAGACTGTAGCGTGGGCTCGGAGGGCTCTGGTGGAGTAAGCATAAGGGAGTTAGGCGCCTCTAGTCTCCGAGTGTAGTCTCTCGGGGCCTATGGAATTGTCTCCGAGATGTTGGGCTCTCTCGAGACAGTGTCTGGGCTTGCCTCATGGTGGGTGGAGGCATTATGCACTAAGTAGGTGAGCGCAGAGGTGCATGATACTTCCTCCTAGGACTGTTATGTTTGTGTAGACTCCCAGAATTTCTATGGTGGTGTAGACTCCTGGGACTTCTGTGGTGGTGTAAACTCGGCTACAAAGTCCGCAAGTGCTTGCGCTTTGATGGCCGCCCTCGGCTGATACTACACATCAAGCTCACTAACTCGACGACCCACTTGAGTAGTCAGACGAACACATCAAACTTTTCTAGAATTCTCTTGATTGATTGATCTATAACGACTACGATGGTATTACTTTGAAAGTAGTGGTGTAAACGCCT